TCAATTAAAGTAATATGGAGTTTTTTTAAAAATAATTATATTACCCAAAATCAATAATAAAAGAATTAATAAATTGGATTTTAAATCGGATTAAAAATCCACCGATTTAGAAAGTTAATAAAAACATGGATTTTGGGATTTTAAATAGGTTTTCAAATCCACCAATTTAAAAAGCCACCCAAAATCAATAATAAAAAAAATAATAAATTGGATTTTAAATCGGGTTAAAAATCCACCGATTTAAAAAGTTAATAAAAACATGGATTTTTTTCCTTTACCATCATAGTTAATTTATTTTAACCTTTTTTAAAACACACAGAATTTTTTTGTCATGTTTTACGTGATAAAAGAATAACCTTTACATCTATTTACATAACTATTCATTTTAAAATATTGAGATATAGAAAAAATAACATATTTTTCAAAAACGTACATATTTTTCAAAATAATACAGATATCAAATTTTTTTTTTCGAAAAAAATATTTAAGATAACTTCAAATTGAAATGATATATTTAATATTTTCATATACAAAAAAGGAATATATAAAAACATGTATAAAGAAATAAATATATATTAGCAACGAATAAGTGTAATGGAAGAAGATTGATTTTAAATCGGGTTAAAAATCCACCGATTTAGAAAATTAATAAAAACATGGATTTTGGGATTTTAAATCGGTTTTCAAATCCACTGATTTAAAAAGCCACCCAAAATCAATAATAAAAAAATTAATAAATTGGATTTTAAATCGGGTTAAAAATCCACCGATTTAAAAAGTTAATAAAAACATGAGCATTTCACTTAAACCCTCAAATACCGTTTCTTCACCAAAACCTGCACATTCCAATTAAACCCACGACAAAACTTCACTGAAACCTGTCGTTCTCCCTCCCTCGCCGTTCTCCCTGCCTCCGCTATTTGCTGCTCTCCCCCCCCCCCCCCCCCCTTCCCTCTCCGCCGTTCGTCGTTCGCCGTTCGTTGTTCTCCCTTCCTCCGCTATTCTCCTTTCCTCCGTCGTTCGCCGTTCTCCCTACTTCCGAATTCCGCTTCCGATTCCGACATACCAATAGTTCCACTTGTAAAAAGACATAAGCAAGGATAAAAACAAAGCTGAGGTAAGTCAATCTCATTATTTTTCAGGAACTGGTTTTTGAATCTATTAACAAAGTGCTTTTATTTTACTGGTTTTTGAATCTATTAACGAAGGATAAAAAATTAAGGGTAGTTTATTTGTTTATGCTGCTCAATGCTCATTATATGTTTGATGAAATGTCTAAATAAAAGGAAAATAAACTATGATGCCATTAAATGATAGTTTATTTGATATATAGTTAGTAGATAGAAAACACATTATGTAACTAATTTATGTATAACAGTATCATTTTGACAGTATCAATAGTAATTTAAAAATTGAAACATGTATATAACTATTTATGATACATGTCATTACGGAACTATTTTATGTAGCAGTATCTCATTACAGAACTATTTTATGTAGCTAATTTATGTAACTAATGATATAACAATATCATTAGTATAACAATATCACAATTTATGTAACTAGTTTAAAAATTAGAACATGTCTCATTCTGGCCGTATCTTTTCTTTTATCTTTTGGGATGGACAGTGATAAAATACATTTGAATTTGTGATTTTTCTCCTTTCATGTTCATTAGTATATATAGTATCATTAAGATTGGTCATGTGAAAAACAAAAAAATTAAGGGTAGTTTATTTGTTTAAGAAATGTCTTTGTGTTTTGAAGAAATGTCCAAAAAAAATAAGGGTAGTTTATTTGTTTATGCTGCTCAGTGCTTATGTTTGATGAAATGTCTAAATAAAAGGAAAATAAACTATGATGTCATTAAATAGTTTTTTTTTTCTTTCTACAATTATTTTTTCTGAAAATGTTCCTATTAATTTCTTGCTAAATATCAACTTTTTATACTGGTTGCATAGGTTCTTGTCCAAATGATAATACGGTGGTCGTCTTTTGTTCACTTTATCATGAACTTAATCAAACCATGACGAAAATTGTTACAAGGTAAGTTTATCTTTTATGTTCACTTCATCCTACATACATAATTTGTTACAAAAGTAATATCATATGTTATGTGGCTTTATATGAATTTTTTTCTTCTGTATTAGTACTTTTGGGGTTCATCAAGCGGCAAATGGGAATAGAAAAAAGGCTACATGGCTTCAACCCAATGTAAGCGTGGTGTAAATTATAATTATATATTCAATTTTATCCTATAAGTATTCACTAATTATGTCATTCATTTGTAGACAAGAAAACAACCTAACTCTGATGATTGTGGGTATTATGTTGGATATTGTCTCTGCAAATATGACTTTAATTTGTTATTTACTTTACGTTTTGCAACTTAATGTGAATTTTCAAAGAATAACTTTATTGTTACTTACGTGTTGTAGGTATTTGATGACCCAACGAACTTAACAAACGATGATTTGTATGATTTGCGACTCCGTTGGGCAACATGTTTCTTTGAGTTATATAAAGGTTAAGTTTTTTGTTGTTGTAGTGGTCCATCGTGCAAACCTCCTTATAATTTAGTACCTTATAATTTAGTACATTTGTGTATATCCTATATCAGTACTTTTGTATCAGTACTTTTGTAAATCAATTATGTGTATATATACTAGATATTTGGTGCAATCAAATTAGATTTATGAGAAAAATATGAAAATAACGGCTTAAATATGGTCTATGTGATGTTTCAAAACTATGAAAATAGCAACCTAAATGTGGTCTATATGATGTGCACTATGGAAAATAGCGACCTAATTATGGTTTGTGTAATGTTGGAAAAATATAAAAAATTAGGTACCAAAATGTGCACTATGGAAAATAGCGACCTAATTATGGTCTGTGTAATGTTGGAAAAATATAAAAAATTAGGTACCAAAAAAGATACAGGAAACGGCTAAAAAATAGGCAAATAATTTATACTCGTAACAGTACTTTTTACATCGGGCGAATGAAACAACCGATGTAAAACATTACCTTTAACATCGGTTTAACGGCATAACCGATGTAAAAAGTGTCAGCAATTATTTTTCCCTACAGTACTTTTCACATCGGGTGAACTAACAATCCGATGTAAAAAGTGTTAGCATGGAATTTTTTTTTCCTCCAGTACTTTTTACATCGGTTTTGGCACGCAACCGATGTAAAATATCCCCCTTTTACATCGGTTTTTCCCTGCAACCGATGTAAAAACACCCTTTTATAATTAAAATTTACAATTATAATTTTTTTTTCACATCAGACTTAAATATTTAACCGATGTGATTGGTGTATTTCTTACATCGGGCCACAGAACCGATGTAAAATGTCTTTGATTTACTACATCGCCTGGCTTTACATCGGACTAAGACCCGATGTAAAAAGTCAATTTCGCCCGATGTAAAAAGTCATTTCTGCACTAGTGATGCTACTGATTTTGCAAGCGACAATATTTTTGCATATGCTAGAACCTTTTGCAATTATGACTTAGCTTGTTCTAGCAATCTTTCTTTTCACGGGCGTTCACTTGCAGATGCTACATCATTTATTTGAACCTCTAAAAGTTCCTCATCTTCCATAGTTGCCTCTTCCTCCTAGACAGGAGTTTCTACCTCATCCTCTATCTGTAGCGAATAAGTCATCTATAGAAGACTCACCATTATTTTAGAATACTAGTTTCTCATTATTTGGTTGAATTGTGTGCTTGGATTGAAATGCACTTTCAACTGACTTTTCATTGCGTCATGACAAACTTTGCTCATAGGATCTAAGTGAATCAACCCTTGGATAGTTATGGTTGACAAATCCTTAGTTTCTTCTATAACAGCCACCATATGATCAAAAATTTCAATCAAACTAATTAAAGTTATATCTACAATTCTTTGATCTTTAATTGTGTCTTCATGAGACTTTATTTAATTCACCAAATCAACGAGTCTATTAAAATACTCATTCAAACTTTCATTTTTCTTTCATCTTTTCATTCTCAAAATATATTTTTAAAGACATAAGTTTGATTGTTCTCACCTTTGAATCTCCTTCAAACTCTTGTTGTAGAGTTTCCCATGCTTATTGGTATGTTTTTGCTCTCATAATTTTTAGAAAAATGGTATTTGAGACTCTTCTTTGAATCACCCTTAGAACACCGACATGTGTAGTTTTTTTCTTCTTCTTTAATTCTTCACTTAGTTCTTCGTATCCTTGTTCGACAAACTCCAAGACTTCTAAAAATGTGAACAAAATCTTCATTTTTATTATAGATAGAGCTAATAATTGTTGAGACATTACTTGAAAAAGTCACGACTCTTGACTTTCAACCACCTCTCACTCTTCTATTTTTCATTCTTTTCTTCAAAAAATTTAAGCTTGGGCACAACTTTATTGACGATATTCAAGAAGGGATTGAAAAATATTTTCTTTTTAATTTCTTTTGTTTTGTATTTTTTTTCCCCTTATAAATCATATAGCGGAGAACTCTTGTTTAATGAATGATAAATTTCTTCAAAAATCATTAATTATCTAATCCAACCATTTGTTTATATACCACGTTACTCAACATTTATAACTACAAACAAATGGATGTGTTAGTATTTTACTAGTTACTTTCAAAGTCACAGCATATAAATTATGGTGAAATCTTATCAACCTACCTTAAAAAGTTGGGTAAAATTATCCATAGTGACTTTTAAAATTGCAAAACCATTAAATTCAAAAATAAATTAAAACTCATTATTCTGCACTAATAATTCTATCAAATTCTACCTTATCCATAGCTCAACGAAGTATTCATGCAAGGTACTGCTATTTCCATTTTAAAGAATGTTAACCATATTACACTCCTGGTTACCTCTAAAAGGCTAACTTTAGAAGATTTTATTTCTGTCATTTTATTCAATTTCATCTTACACCAGATCACTGCACTTAAACATTCTAACACCAAGATCTATGATTAATTTTAATAATCTTTCCTATAATTCGTCATGATATTTCTCCTCTACTGCTGCTACCCCTTGGTGAAGTTTGGCAAGATAATTCACAGCTAACGAGGCGTGAAGCGCAGCGCCATAAGGAAGTGAATCTTCATTAACCTTGTAATAAGGTGAGTGTGCCATAGCAAGATGTTCAACTGAGACATCCTCCATTCCTAGGAAGTAGATGTATCCAGGAAAAGCCTCTTGATAGAGTGCAAAGTCTTCTGATCCCATTATCAGTTCTATGCCTTTAACTTTATCGTGCCCGAGTAAACTCCCGGCAACACTATGAAAAAAGTCATGCAAGCCAGCATCGTTTATAGTTGGAGGGAAGAAAGGCTTCTCTTCATCGAAGAACGTGACTGTTGCATTGCATCTATACACAGCAGCTTGTGCAATGATAACCTGTTCAATGCGGTGTTTCATTCGCATGAAGCTTTTCCTTGAAAAAACTCGAAAGGTGCCACCAATTATGACAGAGTCTGGAATAACATTCAACGCAGCACCTCCTTGAAACTTTGCTACAGACAAAACCTGAGGGTCAAGGGGATCAGATTCGCGAGAAATGATATGTTGTAAGCTAAGAATCACATTGGAAGCTGCCAATGTGGGATCTATAGTATTATGAGGAAGAGCTGCATGGCCTCCTTTGCCGCTTATTATTGCTTCGAAATTGCCACTACCTGCAAAGAGAGGACCAGACCTAGATGCCACTTCACCTAAAGGTAGGTTTGGATGCATATGGATTCCAAATATGGCAGACACATTTTCTAAAACTCCAGCATCTAAAACTTTCTGAGCCCCTCCACCTCCTTCTTCTGCTGGTTGAAAAACAAGAACAAAAGTTCCCTATACCAAAAACAAAGAGTAACGCTATCACAGATCCACAAAACGATGAAAATAGAGGAACCGAAAATTCAAAAAAATTAAGAAGCATACATTAAAATATTTTTCATGGTTTTTTAGGATCTTTGCAGCACCAAGAAGCATAGCAACATGAGCATCGTGACCACATGCATGCATCTTTCCAGCTACTTTACTCTTATGCTCCCATTCCACCAATTCCTGTTATCAGCAACACCAAAAATCATCAATAAAATATATATGATAGAAAAATAATAAAAAATTGTATACCTGCATAAGAAGAGCATCCATGTCAGCTCTGAGAGCAACAAAAGGAGGAAGACCAGTTCCTATGTAACCAACAACACCTGTAACTGCTACTGGATGTTTGTAAGGAATACCCAATTCATCCAATTTTTCTCTTATAAGCTTACTGGTTTCAAATTCTTCATAACCCACTTCTGGATTTTCATGAATTTTCCTCCTGATATCAACCATCCAATCAAAAACTTGAGGTTCCCTGGCTAAATCCAAAAAGTTTGGCATTGCATTTGAATCTGAGAAGACATGCGTTGCAATTAAAACGCAACTCAAAATGATGATGAACAAGTTCACCCATCTGAAGAAACCCATGAATGAATTGTTTCAAACTCTTCTGAGAAATTGAAAGGCGGTATGATAAAAGTGAATTGATTTGAAAAATATTTTGTCGAATTTAAATAAACCAATTTTTGAAAAATATTCTCTGAGTATTAAATATATTTGACTTAAAAATTAAACCAAATACATTTAACTTAAAAATTTAAACGAAGTACATTTGACTATTGAGTACAAATATTTAATATATTTTATTTCAAGAGAGTATACATTGATTAGTAAAATCCTTGGAATCCTATTCCCAACATTATTTTTTTTAATAATAATATTTCTATTCAAATATTTGGTAAAGAAATCAAATCATCAACTTCTAGAAATTTACTACGTGAAAGTTCACCCATGTAAAGAAAGCCATAAATCGATTGTTTCAAATTCTTCTAGTAGATTCATGGGGCTGTCTACCGTCACGTAAACGAGTAGCATTTTTGACAATTTTTTAAGTTTCAATTAATTGTGGTTTTAAATCGACGCTAAAAATTAATTAATTAATTTTTTTTTTAGTTTTTAAATCAACGCTAAAACTGCCACAAAATTTTAGTTTTTTATTTTAATTTTTAAATTACAGTTTTAAATTATTATAAAAATAATTATTAAAATTTGTTTCGGTTTCTCGCCATTAAAACACTACTCGCTTACGTGAGAGATTTCTCACGGTACACAGCACCGCAGCATCAAGAAGCTTTTTTTAGAAAATAAGTAAAAGTTAGAACTTTTATAAAATAGTAGAGAAAATTTTTTTAAAAAAATTTACAACCATTAAATTAAATTTGTGGTGAAATTTTTTTAAATAAAAGTGATGTATTTGAATTTCTATCCAAAAATTATAAACATTCAATAAAACAAATAGAATTCTCTTTTTCAAAAATTTCCGATCATCCCCCAAATATTTAAACACTTTCTTTATCTATCCAAAACTTCCTTCCAAACTTTCTACACATAAAAACATTAAATTATTAAAGGAATTTTCGACTGTTTAATTATTTAATAAAAGTTAACTTTTCTTTTTGTAACTATCTGAAAAAATTCTAATTTTTCTATTAATTATTTAAACCCACAAATTGTAAAAACTATGTAAAGGTTTTTACTAAAATAAAAAAAATTATTGTTCTCTTTCCTTCTTTTTATAATAATATGTTCTTAATATTTCTTAATAATAATTTTTTATTAAGCAAAAATTATATATAATTTTTAAAAAATGAACCCACATTTTTTTTCTACTTCTTTTTCTTGTTTCCTTAATAAAATGAAACTAATAGTTTTTTTTTTCTTTTTAAGTCACAACTCCAAAGCGAAAAAATAAAATAATAAATTCCATTAAAAAATAAATTAATACATAATTTATAACAGTAAATATTTCTCTTAAAAAAATAAATCTAGTTTTTTTTTTCTCCATTATATGGATGTGTTTTACATTTTCTTAAAATGTATTTTTATCATGTTTTTAAGTTATTATATTTTTATTAGTACAAAATTGCATCAAAACTTTTGTTTATCCACGTTTTTTTTAAATATTTTATTGCTCGTCTTAACAATTTTTTTTATAGTTTTTCTAAGTCTTCCTCTTCTTCTAATTGTGGGATTCTTTTCCATCTGATTTATTCTCTTTACTATATAATTTACTAATCTTCTCTCTACATGCCTAAATCTCCTAAGTTTATTTTTCACAATCTTTTCTATTATAGGTGTTACCCCGACACTCTTTCTAATATTTTCATTTTTAATTTTATTATGCCGAGTCTTACCACACATCTACCGCAATATTCTCATCTCTGACACGCTTACTTTATTCTCACGTTGATTTTTAAGTGTCCAACATTCTGTCTCGTACAAAATTGCAGGTCTTACTGTAGTCTGATAAAAAAAATTCTTCAACTTGAATGGTACATTTGCATCACATAAAACATTTTATGCCCTTCTCCATTTCAATCACCAAGCTTTGAATTTGATGGTTTACATTCCCTTTTATTTCTCCATCATTTTACATTATGGACCCAAGATATTTAAATTGTGCTTTTAAAATTAATTATTGGTTGAGATAGTATTTTTGAATTGTGAGATCAAATATTTACCAATGGATTAAAGATTTTCTTTAAAAAAAACTAAAATAGAATATGTGCTTTATAAAGGGTAAGGTCGTGGGTAACTAGAAACGACTTAATGACTTCAAATAGATATATATATATATAAGTATGTTAATTGATTAAATTTCTAAGGATATTATACATTCCGATACTTTTAACTCTGAAATTAACGATGATTATATATATATATATATATATATATATATATATATATATATATATATATATATATATATATATATATATATATATATATATATATATATATATATATATATATATATATATATATATATATATATATATATATATATATATATATATATATATATATATATATATATATATATATATATATATATATATATATATATATATATATATATAAGTCATCAACAATAAAAGACTGTAGATAACATATTGCAAAAAATTTCAAATTTTTTTGCGCTGCATAAACATGTTGGATAAGTAGCTTCTTGGATGACATCTTGTCTTTGACAAATGAATGTCCAACTCGATATGGTCTATGCAAATGTGATGGACATGATTATCACGTGACAAAGGCACAACATTTGGATTGTCACATAGTAGATTGAGAAAAAAAAAAGGAATGTGTAGTTCATATAGTAGGTTGATGACTTTCTTAGCAAGTGAACTAATTGAATAGAAGTAAAAATAGATAAGATCGCCGTCCACCGAGATTGAGCTATTTTAATAAGGTGAAATTCGTGCTATTTAAAAATTAAAGTCTAGGGATTTGCTAGAGAGTATGTTGAAAAATCTAAACTTGAATAAAACTTGAGATGAGAAGAGGACTAGGTCTTATTCGAAATCCCCAGATTTTCCCCTGTTGATGACTGCACAATAATTGAATCAAATTGATTTTATAATTTTACCGTGAATTAATAATACCCATGTACTCAATCTCTTTATGTACAACCCACTAATTTAGACTACAGTTCCTTACGTGAGTTGGATAGCAAAATTAGGCAATCTATGTGCGATAATTCTCCAGCCACAACTTATAATTCTCTATCCCTAGTTAATTACTAAGTTGAACATTTACTTTATTTTACATTAGTCAAGTTAGGATCAATAATTCCTACTCATCTTAATTCACTTTGCAAGATCATCAACACCCAAAGAGCGATAAACACAAAAGTAATTGAATAGAAAATATATAATCAAATCATGCAAACAACATCAAACAGTCATAGTCCAATAGAGTAACATTAGATTCATTTCCTAAGACATAATCAAGAGAAATCTAGTTACTCATAGTATTACAAGTAAATATTGTGAGTTTAGAAGAAGAGTACATCAAACTCAATGAAGAATGTGGTTTTCAATTGCTGATGTACTCTTCCAAAATTTTAAGAGAAATAAAATGCTTACCCTTACCAATTAACATTACCATTCACTTGTTTTTGATTACCATTCACTTGTTTTTGATCATTACTTTCGTCTCTGCTTCAATCTAGATAAATCCAAAAAGTCCTTTAAACATTAACATGCACTCACATGTCTATCATCTCATAATTTTCACTCGAATTGACAGGGTAATCACAATCAACATACAAAAGAATTTTACCATAAGTGTGCAAAATATCTAACAGAGTCAATCAAAGTCATATCTAAACACACACTTTTAAAGTCTTTCAAGGTTGTAATGGAGCTTATGTCAGGGTAGGAAATGTTGGGATAGTAGGCTTAAAGCATTGGAGTTATGTACCTAATTTTTCTTATGTTATCATGCCTCTTTCATAAAAATCTTTACCTGATCAATCAGTACTAGATAATGCAATTCGCTATTCTTTTTCATTCATTTTTTCAAGAATTTGTTTTAACTTCTCTATTTTTTATATTGACCAATGTTTCTTTAGTAACCCAACCCCAAACTTAAACGTTGCAAACTTCTAAGAGCAACCCCAAACTCTTTTTTTTTGCATTAAACAAGAAAACTAAAATTTCTACCTAACTCCAAAGAGGATGGAAAGATTAATATTTCAAGTAAAATGGGATACATATTAGACTATGTGACTGAAGAAATGGCTCGGGCTTATAGGGTTAAAATAATGAATATGAACATTTCATACAGTTTGCATTAAAAAGACTCAAAGTTTCCCTGTACAAAATCTTCATGTGTAATTTATCAAACCAATATACTAAATCAGAAAAAGAGCAAATTCTACAAAATATCAATTGCACGGGTACTCTCATAAAAAGGAAAATGAACAACAAAATATTTGGATCAACAAGTCAGCAATAGCTTTGGCAAAGAACCCAGTCTACCGTGATCAAAGTAAGCACATTGACACACCACATCACTATATTAGAGAGTGTGTTTCTAACAACGATGTGCAGTTGGAGTATGGGAAGATTCATGAACAAGAAGTTGATATCTTCACCAAGCCTCTCAAGCACGAAAACTTTATCAACTTAAGATATTTACTTGGAGTATAAAATCAAGATTAAGGGTGGCGATTATTGAATAATTAAATTGATTTTAGGTTTGTTAGTTTTGGGGTCTTAGAAATTTTAAGCCCAAATTTGTGTAGTAGTATGTCCAACTTCTGTAAGCCTATTATAGAGATATCTATAGATCTCTCTAGAAGATAAGAATAAGTTAGGACTTTTGTATAATAGTAGAGAAAATTCTAGAGAGTGATTTATAACTATTAGATTAAGTTTGTGTTGGTAAAATACTAGTCATTAATTTAGGAATACAACTAGTATAAATAAAAGTGATGTACTTGAGTTCTTATCAAGCCAAAAATTATACAAGTAGAATTCCATTTCCCAAAAGTTTCATATCCTTCCCCAAATACTTAATAACTTTTTCTACCTACCTAAAACTTCCTTCCAACAGAGTGGTATAAGAGCTTGATGATCCTC